CCACCTTCACCTTTCTAGTACCAGAGTTACAGGTGTGTACTGTTATTGCTCCTGACTTTCTTTTACATGTGTGTTGGGGATCAAACTATGGCCCCCATACTTGCATGAAAAGCATGTTACTGATTGAGCCATATCCCCAGCCCCTTCACCCCAGCCCACAACAACTCTATCCCAACCCTATTCATATAGAGGGGGAAGACATGACAGCTTGGTAGTTGTATCCATCCATCCATCAACCTTTCCTGTTGGCACATGCAGTGTCAAAGAACTAAGACTACTAAGACAAACATCCTGAGATGCTTAGTGATAGTCTCATCAGTCTGAGATCTGCCCACTGGTACACCACTGCTGCTACCATGACTGTGGACTTGAACCATCTTAGGGTCTTGGCTAAAATGCAAGCCTATGTAACCTACTGCCTGAAAACTTAACAGAAATTTCCAGCAAACAAATTTTCATATGCTGTTGTAGGAGACTGTGCTACACTTACCCATAGGTACAGTTGGCATGGCAGAGGTGGCAGACATTATTGGCATCTGCATACTTCCAGACCAGGGTGTTGTTCTCCCCCATGATGCCAGCTGGACAGGTCTTCACACAGTGTGGGCCATCGATGTAGTGGGCACACTTGATGCAGTTGTCTGGCCCCTGAATCAGGGTATAGAAAAGATTACACATCTTTTCTTTCTTTTTAAAAATGGAAATAACTTTCTATTTATAATATTTACTATGAGAAAACAAAAGTCAAATAATATAGACATTCTTTATTATTGTTGTTGAATATGTGCACATATGTCTGTGCACCACTTGCATGCCTGATGCTCACAGAGGACAGAAGATTGTGTCAGATTCCCTGAAACTGGAGTTACAGGTGGCTGTGAGTTGTCATGTGGGTGCCTAGAATCAAACCCGGATCCTCTAGACGAGCAACCAGTGCTCTTAACCACTGAGGCAGCTCTCCAGCCCCAATGTGGAAGTTCTTAAAATATATGGCAAGTTCTGCAATTGGTCTTGCACGCTGTGTCCATGACAGGCTACACTTTTTTTCTGACTGCTACTGACTCAAATTTACTTTAGATAATATATATTTTAAATTAATTAATTAGTTATGTAATTATGTTTATGTGTTTGTGGATGAACATGTAGAGGTCAATGGACAACTTTGAAAGTTGGTTATTTCCTTCTACCATGTGTGGCTCATTGACGGAATTCATCAGGCTTGGCATCAAGCCCCTTTTATCATTTTGCTGGCTCTCAGTTGCGCTCTTTGCTAACTGTGATCATTTACACAGATCTATCCCATCTGAATGCTACAGTCTGCTTAGAAAGAAAAGCTGCTATTCTATTTCCATTCGAGTTTCAGCCACTCTAGTCCAACAACGTTGTATAAAGTAAATGTATTTGTGGAAAAAGCAAATGCATTTATTATACCCAAACATTAATGAAACTTCATTTGTCGCCTTATTTTAATAGTATATTAGGACATTGCACCATACTTGTCCAAGTCATCTTGATTGGTCTACATGTATTTTACCACTTTATCTTTCTTGTGTATCACATTTGAAGTTAAAAGGAATTTCTGAGGGAAGACAGACTTCAACCTGCTGAGGCGCATGGAGGAGCATGGAGGAGCAATGCTCTTTTGTATTTCTTCAGGGAAAAGAAGGTTTCACATGACAATGCTGGCTACAGAATGGACTGTGAATTTGTAAAGTTAGGTTTTGTCTGTAAAACTTAGAATGTCCTTATAAACTTCTGAGAACGAAGGCAGTGGGACTTCCTGGGTGATGTGCTTCACGCTGTACAAGGAGACTGAAGTAAAGCAGTTAGGCAAGGCTTTTTCCCTTGGCTTCCTTAACGGCTCAGCTCTGTACACTCAGAGGCTGAACACACTCAAAGCCAGAGCAGCTGGAACACTAAAGCAAAAGCAGCAGTTATTTCACTGTACCGATGGAAATTTAGCCCAATGCCCTGTAAGCCTGAAGACCAAGGGCTTTTGTTGTAACCAGTCATGCCGACAGCCCAGATTTCTTGACTCAGTTCGGTTATACTCTGCATGATTGATAGGCAACTTCTGAAACATGTTTCAATGAGATTTAGATTTTGCTGTTGGAACTCAGACTGAATCAAAGACTTCTCTGTGCATAGTATCAAGTACTAACAGGTTATTACTGTCAGAGGAACCTGAGTTCTTATTTATATTCCTTATGAATTTGCTGCTATCTGTGTAAAGAAGAAACTGTGTTTTTAAAAAATGTTGGAATCCCTTTTAAAAAAAGTAACTTGGTTTTATTAAATAATACTTTCTAGTATTTGATTGAAAGCTGCCTGGCATTATTAGGTTGTCCTACAGCACAGGGTGTCCTGTGGCACAGTGAAGTACTGGTCAAGATGAAGCATGTGTGGGACACTGGACAGGCAGGTGTCAGGCATCTCTACTCAGCATGGCCACATTTCACTATCAGATCATGCACATCTCTTCCCAGGAAAGGGCTTGCACTCCATCCTTCCTCCTGGGGATGGCTTGGATCATTGATATTTCTGTTGATGCTGTCAAGAATTGGCAACAGCAGAGGGCTCTTACCCGGCCTGTACAGGTGAGGTTCATGGTCTGAGGCAGACATTCTGGATGGCACTGGATGCATTCAGAATTTTCCACAAACTCCCTCGGTTCCCTGGGAGAAGAGCACACGAACAGGTCATGCCATACCATGACCAGCACGATTGTTTCAAGTAACACAAATGAACTCTCCCAGAAATTCAAAAGAATCTTAAAATCAAAGGATCAGAATGCTGGAACTTCTTTGAAATATAATGTGCTGAGGTCAACTAATAGAAGGCCAACATAGTCCATCCTCTTGTAAATTGACACTTACATTTTTATCTTTGAAATCTCTTCACCATACCCAGAGATCCAAGTCTCTCCAGTACCTGGCCACTCTTTAAACCAAGACGCTTCTGCAGGAATGGTCTAGTTAGGTTGTCCTACAGACATCTTCATTTATAATCAGAGTTCTTTCCTGACATTTTTAATAAGCATAATTTTTGAATGCTAGGTAAGAAAACCAACTATGAAAAGCATCTTTATGAGACATCCCTTCCATCTAAGACCAAAGTCAAGCTGGAAAGAAATGGTTACTAAGACCAAGGGATAGGAAAGGAATCAAGCTTGTTCACTTCCGGGTGCTCTGGAAAACATCTTCCTGTGTCCTGCCTCTCCTGGTATTGGAATGTGAGATACATTAATACAATAACAGACCTCGCCCAAGTGGTCTTTCCTTTGCCTACTTTAGTAGTTCAGGCTGTGCTGGCCACATCAAGAAAGAAGCAGCAGAGATAGAAGAAGTGCTGGAAGAGGCCTTGGAGCAGTGGTCATAGCCTGAGCTGCAAAAGTAGTAGTGGTCAGCTGCTTGACAGATGGAGAAGAGGCAAATAAACAGCTTGAGAGGGGCCAAAGCAGGCATGATGGGGATGGCCGAAATAGAGAGGATGGAGACCTGAGGCTGAATAATGGAAGACTGTACAAAGCAGGAGAAGAGAAACTGGAGGTCGCCGTTACTGAAAGAGTTCCAGAATAGTGCCAAGATTTTAGAGGCAAGGGTCTCAGACATCCTGGGCCCAAGAATTACAATAGCAATCATTGTCAGGTACTGAGAAACCTATTAGACAGTCCCTTCTTGAGGCTATACCACGTACTACTAAGGCCTAGGGAATCCCAGTGTGCTAGGCTTATGCACATATTCTATCATTTAGGAGTCCTACACTGCAGGCCTATGCAAGAACTCTTAAGACTTGTAGAGCTCAGGGTATCAATAGACAAGTAATGAACAAGGGCTCTAGCAGTAGAGGTTCCCACCGGCCTGTTGCTACTACTCACTCTGTCAAACTCAGAAGTGTACAAAAGAAGACAATGACCACATCAGATTGGTCTTTCCTTGTCACTCCATGGTTCCTATATGGACAGACCAAAGGGACCACAGCCAACTGACTAGTAGTTAAAAATCCAGAGTGGGAATTTTCTGAGCTTTGTCTATTTGTCACCTCCTGCAGAAGGGTCTTGGTTTGAAGAGTGGTCAGGTATTTCAGCAGGGCACTAGGCTTCCACTAAGAGACCTGGGTCTCTGGGTACAGTGAAGAGATTTGAAAGCTAAAAAGATTTGTCTATTTATAAGAGGACGGACTATGGAGGCCTTCCACACGTTCAAACATCAGCTATAGCAGTTGTCCTAAGTTCATTAATAAAGTCTTAGGAACTCAAACTTGTCTTTCTTGCTCTGGAATATTTCTGGATATAAACTGTGGTCCACGCCCTGCTAGTGAAACAGGATGGATGACTTCCCAGCATCATCTGTAAGTCACATGGTTCTTCTTGCCGTAGCTTTCCCTATTTCCTTAAATTAAAAAAATGCCACTCTCTGTTCCTTCAATCTAGTTTCCAAGCAATTTATTTTAATCATTATCATAACAACTTAAAAGTTTACACTGATATCGAATTTCTCATTGTATGCATATGCTGGGCTTTTTTTTATTACTATTACATTAAGCAAATACGTCAATTACTTATTTGTCCCTGGTTAATTTAAAAATCACTTACTACACCAATCAATGATCAGTGTATGCTTGGGGTACACAAAATAAAATTAATTAGGAAATATTCTGTGTTGATATATCTTAATTCAGAGGAAATAGTGGTCTGGAAAGGAAAGGCCAAATGTCTATCCTTCTTGGCTACCTTAACCACAATCTCTGTTCTATCTTGAGAAACTCATGTAAAATGAAAATTTAAAGTTTTTCCAGAAAAAGAGTTATGATAAATGATCAGGCAAGATTAAGGGACCATGAGAAACTTACTTTGTAATGTGATGAACATTTTACCAGAAAACAAACATAAAACAAACAAAGTTAATATCAAGAACAACAGAAAAAAGAAAAACTTAACTTGGATAACTACAAAGGTCTAAAACCAGCACAGTGGCTTATTTCTTAGCTACACAGAGGTTGAAAGAACAGTGTCTCACCCCTCCAGGATGTTGCACTTCTCCACGCACTCCCTGCCTCTGCTCACATTCTGGCAGGAGACACAGTCCCTGGGATCAGGGCCCCAGCATCCTTCCGAGGAGCATAAAGGATTACAGACGTGGTGAGTGGCCTCTGAGAAGACACAGTAATTCATCGGGTCAGTTAGTGGACAGTAACAGGAGGGATTAGAAGAAGGGACACCTTTCTGAGGGGTTGTGTGCCTTTCACAAGATACATTGGGATTCTGGAGATAATATGGCACCAAGGCCTCTCTTTTCTGTAGTGTTTAGGGTAGCTTGAATCTGACTCTGGGGAGACTTTGGTGATGGATGTCGCAACTGACAGAAATGGCAGGGAAGGTTGTAGGTGCTTGCAGTGTGCTAGGCACCATGCCAAGAGCTTCTCATGTCACTGAGGGATGCCATACTACTGAAGTCATCATGTATGCATGGGGATTAGAAGCCAGAAGTGATTAATATAAGCAAGACAAGTTCCTGAAGCCCAAGCAGGCCAGAGGAGTTTTGGAGCACAGTATTACCTCTGCCAGAGTTCAAAATCTTGCCACAAATCCAGGGGCAGTTGCCAGTTTCAAAAACTAATTCAATGTTTCAAAATCAGAGTTGGGAATAGAAATGTGAAATGTCATGCATTCTTTGATGTGTATGTGTGCGTACGTGTGTGCATGTGTACTTGGCTATAGCAATGCAAGGATAAACTGTGTGCAGAACTATCTGCACTTAAAATATAAGGAACACAAATCTGTTTTTTAAATTACAGATATTTAGTAGCCTAGACCTTAAAGCATACCTTCTTCATGGATTTGACTACACATTAAGGGAGGAAGGGGTCTGTTTGGATAGTAGTTTAAGAAGGGGTACTGTCCATCACAGTGATAGAAGCAAGAGGACAAATGTTCAAACACATGAGCATGCTGGGAACATACTCAAACCACACCATCCCTCTGGCCCCATTCCACACTCCGGGCCACATAGGATTATGAACATCTTATAAAGAAAAATGTGTACATTCCATCTTCCTAAGTCTTTAAAAAACTACATTTTTCTATTTATTTT